AAAAAACTAATTGCATCTTCTCCTTATTTCACAAAAACCCATAACAAACCTCTTCTCCTTATTTCACAAAAACCCATAACAAACCTCTCAACAAATCAAATACAACACCCCTTCTCTTTTCTCTGATTATTTCATCCAACTCCATCTTCTGTAAACATGCACAATCTTTTTGCTAGCTGATAATCTAATAGACCCATCATAAAGGACATAAATTTGGACTAAAAAGCAAGTGAGATATTGACCTGACAACTGACGGCTCTACTAATCCTTTTTCTTCACCAAATCGCCCCTTGCTCTTCACCTCCCTCATGCTTATAACTCACCTTATAAGGGAAAAAATGATAATAAGAAAGTCTGTGTTAAAAAAGAAAATCACCAATAAAGAAAGATAAGAGTAATATAGAAGATTCCCAGTTTTGGAGCTAGTTAAGTTGTGGGTAGATTTTGTTTCTGAGCTAGTGGAGGAGAAAAATAGAAAATCACCAACAAAATGGACACATCTAACTTATATTTCTCCCCCACTACCATCCTAGCCAGAATGACAACTATTCCACCTATGACTTACCCTGTCATCAACCTTATATTTGCCAAAAAATATTCAATATATACTGATAATAAGACAGAGTAGAAAAGAGTAATGCTACAACAAAATAAATGAAAATTACATTATTAGTAACTCTTGATTATATGAATTTTACTCATCTAAACAGTATCTAAACAAAGCCATATCATAGCTTTTAATCATAAACAAAACGAATATGTCTAAGGAATGAAAATTTACCTAACAATTTTGTACAAACGCGTTTTTTTCCTGTTCTTCCCGAACGATTTTTAATTTCAAAACTCAATCATTTCAAACTATCTTGCCACCAATCTCCAATGTTCTACCTCAAGCCATAGCATTCGCCAGCTCAGAGACTCAGCCACCGTCAACCAAAGTCACTCCTCTCACCAAAATCCAGTCCGTCAAATGCCATTGCTGCTGCTTCACTGAGGAATACACTTCCGCCTACATCTTCCACGTCTGGGAACGCAACCAGGGCCACTGAATTTGCAGCCTCTGTGTCTAGACCGTCAAGGACATAGTGCAGAGATCCCACACGACCATCTCCACCGAGGAAGCGCTGGACCTACACATCAGCTTCTGCGAGGAGTTTAGGGCCTCTTCTCCTCCTGCCAAAACAGAAAACCCAATCATTGCCATCAGCAGGCTTCTCCATCGCAATCTATATATTACAAAATTTTGAAAGAAAAAAAAATATAAAATAAGAGTTTTACCCAACAAACTCAAATTTGGAAAATCAGTCACCACGAGTCTCATTTTTTTTCTCTTCCTCAGTTGTGACCAGCCTTCCTGAACCCACGATCTTCCTCTTCCAATTTTTCTCCATCTGTGACCCATTGCCCATTCCCCATTGACTCTTCCCTTTTCTCATCTCCTCTTCTCACCTCCGGCCTAGCCCCACCACTCAAAATTTTCCCTGTCAGACTCCCAAGCCCAGATTTAATCACAGTAGATCTACCTACTTCTTTCTTCTCTCTTCATTCAACCCCTTTCTCAATCTTCCTTTACCGCCGGCAGCAAGAAAGGAAATGTGATTGAGATGAGAGAAATAAGCAAGAGATGGGAAATCATCAGATCTGAAATCTGAAAGGAGATGGAGGATTTGGTGCTCAAATCTCAGTAGAGCAAGCAAACCCAAAACACCAAAAGTCAGCTCAAACCGCAGAACTCAACTTTCCCTTTTGATGATCGACGACCACCGACCAGAGTTTGCCGATAATCAATCAAACGCAGAAGAGGAAACAGATCAGCACAGACACTGCAAAAACAGGAAGAGGAAAAAGACCCAAAAGCCATCTTCCGAGAGAGAAAAGTAGAGACAAAGCCCCGAGGGCAAAACAGAGAAAACAAATTCTGTGAGGGGGGGTGGAAGCAACGGACGAAAGAATTGAGATTAAAAAGACCATAAAGCCAATTCTATGAGGGGAAGATAGAAAGAAACAGTTGAGGGCAAAACAGGAAAACAAATTTTTTTGTGAGAGGGGAGGAGAAACACTGTTCATTAGTGGGAGAGGGTTCCTCTCATTAACTGTTTGGTATCTAATAAATCAATTAGAATTTACCGAACGTAACAGGCCTTGCAAGTTAGTTGTTGTGCGTTTAATATTTTGATAATAACTAATATTTAAAATATGATAATGTCATGTTATTTCTCATCTCTTCCCTTTAAATTGTATTCATAAAAAAAAAAAAAAGTAAATTGTATTAATTTTTTTTTTTTTGAATAGATTACAATTTTAAAAGAAAAGATGTTCAAGTTTTAATTTTAAGAATGAAAATATAATTTATGATGAAATATATAAATATTCAACCACAAGAGCTAGATGGTTAAATTTATTCTTAGATTTAAGTTTCAAAAAGTTATTATTCTTGTTTAACAATCAAACAAGTATTATTGCCCTACATTGCACGATTAGGCTTGAGTCCTTTTCATGGTACTATTTTGCCAATGGGTAGTGCCATTGGGGTGGCACCAACTTTTTCACGCGAATTTTATGAATATTGGCACTAACTTTTTCACGCGAAATTCTCTCCATTTTCTTTGATAAAAAATACGACAGATTCGTTGCTGGTTCCAAGGACTTGTATGTCGCTGGCAAGATTGTGATCTCCAGGGTTGAGTCACCGCAGTTCAGCTGGAATCCTAGGAAGCTGCAGTATCGCCAGTCTGTCTGAACCCCAAAAAGGATAGCCAATAATCCAAACAGTTTTCCAAAAGAGTAACCGACTTACGAAGCCATATACATTGTACATTATTGTAAAGATTAATTATACCAAGCAAATAACTTTGGTTGGAATTATAGCATCATTATCATCCTTTTCTACTAAATATGTTCAACTGATAAATCCTATTGAAAACAAGTATAATTCAACCATACTCTACATACAGTTAAGGAACTAGTTTTGGCTCACTAGTGAATATTTGCTGTTTTTCATTGACTGATTGGATGAACAAACCAAAGGCGTGTTATTCATTGAGAATAGGGATGATTTCACAGTGGTCCGTGGAGTGCTACATGCTGAAGACTAGAGGATTAAGAAAATATAGGGAAAACTATGCTGAACTTTGGAATACCATCTTGTGGGGATGTTTGACTTCTTGTACCAGAACTTTGTTTTGCTGTTAAAAAAAATGCAGCAGACACCATTTCTATGCATTTGAAGATACATTATCATCATCAAGTATTGAATTCATCTCAAAAGTTCTTGGAACCCCCTGCAAATCATCTCAAACATATTGCTATGAACATAGTAATCAAATTGAAGACAATTGTACAACCAAAAAAATTTGATACATTTATTGCACTAAATCATATAAAAAATCAGAGTATGGTCTAACCTTGCATTATGACTGATGATGTGGTGTTGGAGTTTTGGAGTGATATTGCTGCAGGAGAAGACAACAAAGGTTCTGGTGGAAGTGGCAAAGCTTCAAGGCTTCCTTGTAACATTTCAAGCACCTTACTCATTGATGGTCTGTTTGATGGAATTGTTTGGATGCACCAAAGGCTCACTACTATCATCTTCCTTGTCATTTCTTCTTCCTCATCAGCTATGATTCTGTCAAGATTCAATTTTTCTGATTTTTCAAGCTGCTTATACAGCCATGTAGGAAAATACATTTCACTGGAGTGAGACACTTCCACATTAACATTTTTCATTCTTCCCCCAATCATTTCCAACACCATCATGCCATAGCTATACACATCGGACTTGTAAGATACTCCTCCAAAGTTTCGACAAAATACCTCTGGAGCAATATATCCACAAGTTCCTCTGGCCCCCGTCATTGAAACAACACTGTCTCTGGTTTCACATAATTTGGCAAGACCAAAATCAGATATCTTAGGACAGAAGTTGGCATCTAAGAGGATGTTTTGAGGTTTTATGTCAAAGTGTAAAATCCTTGTGGTACAACCTCGATGCAAGTATTCTAGCCCAAGAGCAATGCCTAGTGCTATCTCATGCAAGGTCTTAATTGCAAGTTGATGATTCTCTGGAGATCCTTGATTATAAATGAACTTATCCAGGGATCCATTGGGCATGAATTCATAAATCAAAGCTCTTTTCGAACTCTCATAGCAGTACCCCAATAGGGTGACTATATTAACATGGGAGGTTCTGCTAATGCTAGCTACTTCATTGATGAAATCCTGTCCATCCCCTTTGGATTTACTGAGAACTTTTACTGCCACAATACGGCCATCAGGTAATTCTCCTTTATATACACTCCCATATCCTCCTTGACCCAATTTATCTTTGAATGAGTTGGTTATTTTCTTGATGTTTGAATATGAAAACCTCTTGGGAGCTAGAGAACCGTTCTGAAGAATGAATGCCTCGACTCTTTCACCGTTCTTTCTAGTTAGACGGAAGTTTAGAGACTTGAAACTTGACAGTGGTTTTCTTTTAAGCTTGAAGAGGAGCACTATAAAAGTGATTGCCACAGTGGTTGTTAGAGGTACTGCCAATCCTGTTTTAGAGAGATTAAAGAAGATGAAATCGACTAATCTAGAAACCAATAAAAGATTCCAAATGAAAAATGTTTCCCAAATGAGACTAATATAGTACCTATGATTGGTATAATGTGAAGTTTCTTTGTCCCTGCAACAACGACAAAAAGGAAAAGAATGGCGTGACTAAAACATGACAGAAACACAAACTAAAACCCAACTGCAGAAATACTGAGAAAGATGCTCAATTGCAATAAAAGGATGTCAAATATTTAAGAAAGATCAACTCATCCTGAAAGAAATGCTATATTTTATAATAAACACACACACATACACACAAAAGATCATTTGATTATTTGAAGTCGTCTAGTCGTTAATCATTGTAGCTTAGAGAATTCAAAATATTAAGCATTCAAAACTCCTCCACACCATTCATGTGAATATCCTAAGGTTTAAGTGTTACCAAAGTGACCAAACATCCCTGAATTTTCAGAGATCAATACTGGAACGTACTTATAGGCATTAAATTTACTTAAATCTGAGCTTAAAACCATTAATCCCTCTTCCTACTCTTTAGTGGAATCAATCCTGAGAACATACTTACAGGATTTAAAATTTTATAAGCTTCATAGTTGGATTGGGACCAACATTCCTTAGTGAAAGTCGAGCTATCAATCTTGTATTCTTTAGCTATCAATCTTGTATTCTTTTGTCAAGTATTTTTCTGTTGTTCTTTTCTTTGCAGGGGAAGTTTTGCTCCTCGGGATGTTTTTTTCCCCAGCCCTATTGGGTGACGGTGTTGTATCATCCATCAAACCTCGTTTATTCTGAATAAATTGTTCGATATTATTACTAGGTGAACCAGAAATTACACCCCAAACTATCCTACAGCTTCCATCATGAAAGCTTATTTCCTTGCCCTTTTCGATAAAGAAAGCTCTATCATGTTTTATCTCAGTTTCACATTTTGATCTTAATAACACCTATTATATGGCTCATGTGGCTGTTGGCGATGGGCAGTCCACTTTTATCAGTTATCTAAGCACCTATTGACGTTTATCCAATGTTATTTCGGTTGGTTGCTATAATGTGTGATGTACCCCTCAAAATAAATGAATTTGATAGTGTTGCCCCACTTAAAATAAGTGGTATGTGGGGTTTGGTAAGTGGATCTCTGATCGGACTTTGCTACCTAATTAGATGACTTTGTCTATGAACAACAAATCTAATGTGGGAGGACCAGTAATGTCAGAATTATTATTAGAAATGTGGCATTCAAACCTGCAAAATGATGAAATGAAGCTGCTATGAAATGGCAGCAAGGAGGCTGAAAATTGACAGCAAATGAAGCTGCAATTTGACAGCAAATATGACAACAATTTAGCTGCAAATATATTGGAAATAAAACTGTTAGATGATAGCAAAAATTTCCAGCAAGCTAAGCTGCAAATGTTGATGAAATGAAGCTGCAATGAGCAGCAAATGAAATGCAAATGCTAAAGCAATGCAAATGCAAATGAAATGTAGTGCTGCATATTGATCAGCTAAATCAGAGCAAGCATGTAGCAAAAGGGCTATCTGGTACTTGTTTTAGAGGTACTTTCACTGTTGCTTTTTAATGTAGAAAAATTGCTTAGACAAAATCAGAAACTTTTTGAATTGTTTTTAGGGTTGTTTTCTACTATATATAGCAGAGATTGTTAATGAGAAAATCTGAGTTGGAGTGTTATACTCCTCTCCATTTTCATTTATGTTTTGCACTTTCATCTTCTTCCCGATTTTCTCTCCATTCCTTTGTGTGGAAAAAAAAAAAAAAAAAAATGAACATGAGGTCCTGTGGTGCTATGACCTTTGTGTATTCTCAAAAGTGGAAAAAAAAAAAAAAAAAACAAGTCCTTGTTCGATGAAACCCATGGTAGAATTGAATCCATGGGGTGATTTAAGATTGCAGTTGAAATTTGGAGGTAATGGAATGAATGTCGGGGTGCAACCATAGATTAAAATAAAATTTACATAACCCGGAGCACCAACAAAAAGAGTAGCATCAAGTTTGGTGATCTGGATCTTCTAGGACAGATTCCACCTTCATAGTCCTCCCTTGCAATCTTCAGTCATTGGGTTTGGTGACTTATTTCAGAACCTGATATCGAACACTGACAATTTCTAAAATAGCAGTATCATTGTAATCACAACGGAGTTTTAATCCTGGATGGCTACAATCAGGCTGTCCTCGGTCTCCCCCCAGAATGGAAAGTCTGCAACAACATTGCCACACTTGAACTGACTACTGCAAATTCTGCACAATTCAGGGGTTCTTGATGACAAGGGAGTCTCAGAGAAAACCAAAAATATAACAAAGAGGAGGAATTAGTTCATATTCTTGAACGGATGGGGATGAGGAAGTAGAGGGATTAATGGGTGAATTCAAGATGTGGTTAGTCTGGACTCTAGAGAGAAAATAAGAATTGATATAGAATGTATGTACCTTAGAAGCAAGGATGAGAAGATAATTCAAAGAAACTGCTAGACAAGAACTTCTGTGCATTTGGTTGACTTAAAAACACTTCAACTTTTCAACTTCTTTGCATCAATTTACTCTGATAATTCCATTTGGAAAAAAACTCTTATACCGTGTAGAATGGAACTACTCCCGTTGTTGGGTTGATCAATTTGAATCATCATCTTAAACTCAAAAAACTAGTTTATTAGATCCATGAGTCTCCACATATATAAACCACTTACTTTTCACTATCTAGTTCTGATATCTACTCACATGTGAACACCTAACAACTATCATGTCTTGTGCAATAATACCATTCTCCTATAATAATTATTAAGTACTTAACTAGCTGTATGAAATATGTGATGGCCGTTCTGATTCCATAGACGGCACTGTAGGAAGATGTCTATGTTATGACATACTAGATTGAAGATAATGACAAAGTTTATAACAAGGAAATTGCTCAATAAATGTGGAAAGAAAAACTAAAGTCTACCTGGAAAAAGAGGTGGACAAAGGCATGGGAAATAAGACTACTTTACGCGCTTTGTTTTCCTATTCATGAAAGGGTAGCTCAAACCCTGGTTGACCACAATAATCTGTTCTATTGACCCCCAAGAAAGGGTAGCTCACATTTCTATGCTTCCAAATTTAAAAGTTTGGCTACAGTTTGAGTATTATAAATCATTGGCACAAAAAGAGTTTTGAAGTTTGATCATGGTAAAAAGAAGGATCAAGATAGAAGGAAGAGGGACGGAAGAACAGGTGTATTGCATTTCTAAAGAACTAGAGAGAGATATTAGGAAGGAAACAGAACAATGGATATGAAATCAATAGAGCTTCCCGTTGTATTTAACAAGACTGCTACGTGAATAAACCTAAATGACTGAAAGGGACTAGCGCACTACCGATTTGAAGTTGAGAGTTAGCAATAAGATGCCTTCTTAATAGGAAAATATAATTAAGTTATAAGAATTTGCTTGAATACAGTGTCTGACTACTGACTAAAATATGTCGTCAGCCACCTAATACCAAAAGAGTATAAATATTTCTCACAAGTGTTTATAGTATTCTCCAAGGTGATTGTGTTCTTAATCATTTGCTTTACTTTTTAGTGCACTAGAATTAAAGCTTGTTGTGATGGTGTGGCGACTCTTAAAATTAATGGGAAAGTAATAGTTTGGTGAGTGAGACTTTTGAATCAGAATTTGCTACCTAATCAGATCATTACTTTGTCTACGATCAACAAATTTAATATGCAGCTGATAAAAATAAAAAATATGAAGAAAATTTTCATTTTGCCCAGGAACAAAAAGTCAGGGGAAAAACCAGTAAGAATCTTTTAATGTCTTATTCTATTCTATAACGATACCTTGACATAAGGTACTTACCTCGGTCATTGGCGTTTGATGGTGGTCGTGCTGGTGGGGAAGGGGCAAGAGGCCGGGTAGGAATAGCGGGAGGAGGCAGGGGAAAAAGAGGACATTCTTGAAATATGTCAGTTGGTTCTCGACAGTAGCAAACCGCTTCCATTTCATTCGAGGGGTTAATGCCGCAGCTTCCCTTGGATTTATTGCACTTCTGACAGAGTCCTTCATCGTCCACCTTCCATTTTACTTCAAATCCATCTTTTAAGGCTTGTTCGACGGCCTTTACTGTGGTTAATGGGGCGAAAGATTCATTAACCAGGACAGTGGCACTAGCAGAACAACCCTTGGGATTAGTAAGTGCTCCTTGATGAATGCAAACTTTGCTAGAATTGACTCCATTAAAACTGCAGCTGAAGTTTTCAAGTGAGGGTAAATTTATCAGGCAGCCATAGAGTAATGTAATATATACATAACCTGAAGTACTGTCAAAGAGAGTGGCATCAAGGTTGGTGTCCCGGCTATTCTGGGTATTCTGGGGACAAATTCCACCCTCATAGTCATCCCTTGCAATCTTCAGTCTTTTGGTTTCCTGATTAATTTCAAGAACCCGATATAGAACACCCTCAATTTCTAAAATAGCTGTCTCATTTTTCTCACACTTGAGTTGAAGTTTTGGATGGCCACAATTAGGCAATCTTCGATCTCCTCCCCAGAATGGAAAGCCTGCAGAAACATTCCCACACTTGAACTGATTACCGCAGATTCTGTACCATTCGGGGTTGCTTGATGACAAGGGAGTCTCAGAGAAAACCAAGAGTATCAAAACAAAAAGGAGGAAGTAGTTCATATTCTTGAACGAATGGGGATGAGGAACTGGAGGGATTGATGAGTAAATTTCAAGAAGTGGTTGGTCAGGACTCTGGAGGGAAAATAAGAACTGATAAAGGATGGAAGTGCCCGAATGAAAAGCAAGGCTGTGAAGATAATTCAAAGAAACTGCTAGACAATGCATTTGGTTGACTTAAAAGACTTCGACTTTTGAACTTCTTTGCATCAATTTACTCTGATAATAAATAATAGTTCACATTCTTGAACCAATGGGGATGAGGAAGGGGAGGGATTGATGGGTGAATTTGGAGAATGCAAGTGCCTTGATGAAGCGAACTCTTCTATTGTTATATAACAGAAGGAAGACTGGAAGTACGGAAAATTATAAGAGGAAGAAGAAAAACTCATCTAAAGTATGAATAGTCATTGCTCACGAAAAAGGGAGAAAGCAGGCCATGGAAAATGAGACAGCTTGACGCGCTTTGGGTCCTATCCACGTAGATTGAAGTTTCCGCCCAGACTTGCAGAAGACGGGTTAATCACTTATTCCCCCAAGAGGAATGCTAGCTGCACTCGCCTTTCTCCAGCACTCTCCAACACTCCTTCATCTAAAATAGCCACGTGAACTTTTCTAGTTGGAAACTTTGAATTGCGAGCCAAAGTTTGTTACGTGGACATTTTACATGAGAGAGTGCTGGAGAAAGGCGAGTGCAGCTAGCATTCCTCTTCCCCCAATTACCAAATCCATCCGATTCATACGCTGTATCTTTCTCCGTGAGAAATTACCATATATTTTTTTTTAAAAATAATCACACCGCAGCACTTTCATTCTTAAAAAATATCTAATAAATCAGATAGAATTTAACTGACAGTTAAATTTACCATTGGATTCAAGTTTCAAAAAGTTATTATTCCTCTTTTTGTTTTTTTTATACATTTAAATGAATTATACAAAATAAGGTAGTTTTTTTTATTTTTTAAATCCCTTTTCGTTCCATTTAAAATTGGAATTTGAAACTTCCAATTTAAAATTTTAAGTTTTTAATTATTGAATTACCATTGAGATTAAAAGTTATTATTCCGGTTCAACTATGAAATCAACTATGAAACAAGAGTTGTTAGCTTATATTGTAGGAATAGATTAACTTGAGTCATACTCCTATGTTTATTTTTAATAAATTTAATTTTTTTATCTAAAATAATGATATAATAACTTATTAATAAAGTTTTATATTTCTCTTTAATTAACTGCTACTTAAATAAAATTTTTTATTTAATATATATTATAATTTTTTTAAAAAATAAAAATAAAATAAAGATAAATATATTAAATAATATTTTTTTAAAAAAATTAAACAACTAAATTTAAACATCTTAAATAAAAAACTACATCTACTTAAAATACACACAGGGAGTATTATTTTGCCAATGAGTAGTGCCATTGCATCTGGGGTCACAGTGCCACCTAATTTTTTCACAGTACTTTATAAAATTTTCAAAATAATTGTCGCTTTTTATTATTTTTTAAAATTTTAAAATTTTAAAATAATTTATGTAGTATTTACTTATATTATTCTTGAAGATATAAAAAACAAAATTTTTTTGCAAAATGATCAATTAAAATAAATAAATAATAATATGATTCAAAAAAATATATATTTGCCTACCTCAAAAAAATAAAAATGAAATTAGGTAGAATAGCAGAAGAGGAGACGAGTTGCTCTCGTCACCAGTGTCTTAAATTGGCACTTGACAAAACAAACAAGATGTCAACAATTTGATGATGCAGTGGAGGGCTAATTACGTTAGGGCAATTAACATGCATGTTCGGTATAAACCAAAAATCAACTAATAAACTTAGCCAGTCCAGCCTAACTAACATCATTCGTGTTTATAAACCAAAAATCAAGCCTAAATGAACGCAGAACCCTGTTCATAGTTTTAAACTCCAAAAAGAAATCAACCAATCAAGTTATGTTTCTAGATATAAAGAACATGAAGAAATGAATGTCAATGTGTATCTCAAAAAGTAAATTCTAAAGTTAACCTCATCTTTGCGTGCTAAGAAAATATAACCTCAACCAATAAACAATATGTTAAATTATGCAAAATCTTTCTTCTAGATATATTCCTAAACCAACCCAGAATGGAGATGCAATGGACAAGTTCTACAGACTTTGAGGCGAATACTAGTACAATATTTTCATTTTAAATGAGGTTCCCTGGACAGCTTAACTCTGACCTCTAAAAACTTGCAGTGGATCTAATTCCCTAATATTATTATAGACCAGTGCAGTAACAATGATCAAAATCACATAACATTACTATCTTATTGCCAAAAGAATAGCATAAAACCAAAGATGTTAGTACAATGAAACATACTTTTA